CTAGAGGTGCAGATGGCATCGCAGGTCGGGCGCGACTGCGCAGCAGCTGCCCTCGCCCGCGACAAATAAAGATTTCAGCGACACGGCGGGGACATGCTGCTGGTTCCCAAAGAACGGGTATGGAGCCTCCTCCCACCCAAGCCGCTTCAGAGGTCCCAGCAAGGCCCAATGCAGGGAGGAGAGAGGCGCATCTGCGGACCTCTGCAAGACTGGGGACAACGCGCTACAGCCAGGGAGGAAATTCAGTTTCAGGAGGTCGGCACTGCAGAATACAGCCCCATCATAATTAATTATAGATCGGGCATTTGGGGAGGGAAGTGAAAGGAACGCATGGCAGGAGTGCAAAGAGGAATGAGGCGGCAGAAGAGGAAGAGTAGGAAGCGTGCGTGTAGCATTTCGCCCAAAAAACCTACGCGTGCTAAACATCACCCCCGGAGCCCTGATGAGCCTGCACCCGATGACTTCTCCTCGGGAGACATCCTTTCTGTCTCCTAGCCGCACTCACACCAGACCTAAAGTCGAGGAGACCGCGAACAGTCAGACACTCCGCCGGTGTCGATCTGGGAACGGCGATCCTGGAAGCCCGCGACCTTGTTCAGCAGAAGGCTGGCAATGCCAGCTGGCGAGTGCGGCAACAAGTTCGACGTGTGGGCCAGCCGGCCAAAGTCCTCGTTCGCCAGGACGTAGACCTAGGGCTCCCAACTTCGCGCTTCGCGCTCCGCGAAACGCGAAGCGCGAATAACTTCGCGCCCTCGCGCCGCCCCCCCAAAGGGAGAAAAGGAGGACGAGGAGGAGGGGGGAGAAAGAACGAGGACCGCGAAGCGCGAATAACTTCGCGCCCTCGTGGGAGCCCTTGTAGACCGTGTCGCTGCGCTCGAGGCGCGTCTCCTTCGGGGGGGTCGTCCACACGAAGCCGCCGTTGCCCAGCGAGGTGCTCCCGTGGCAGCTCCTGCAGATGCCCAGGCTAGGGCTCCCAACTTCGCGCTTCGCGCTCCGCGAAGCGCGAAGCGCGAACAACTTCGCGCCCTCGCGCCGCCCCCCCAAAGGGAGAAAAGGAGGACGAGGAGGAGGGGGAGAAGGAACGAGGACCGCGAAGCGCGAAGCGCGAATAACTTCGCGCCCTCGTGGGAGCCCTTGCCCAGGAGTATGGCAGGGTGCATGGCATCGAACAGGCGCGCGCAGAACAGGTCCCCGCACGTCTGCCCGGCGCACTCCGGCCAGAGCTTCACGAGCCAGATGAGTTCGGCGAGCTCGCCCGCGCGCGTGGCCTCGGCCCTGTGCGTGACGAGCGCCTCCATCACCTCGAGGATGCCGGGCGTGTGGAAGCTGCGCGCGAAAAGGGCGCCCAGCACCTGCGGGGCGAAGGCCCGGCCCGAGGCGAAGCGCGGGTCGAGGTGCGCCGGCTCGGGCTCGCCTGGGAGCCAGTCCAGGCCGCGCCTGAACCCCGCCTAACGCGGGTGTTGGGGCGAGGGGGCCTCCTCCTCCTCCTCCTCCTCCTCCTCCTCCTCCTCCTCTCCCCCTCCTCCTCCTCCACTCCTCCTTTTTGACGTTGGCCATACATGAAGCGCGACGTCCTCCTCCTTCTCCTCAGTCGCGGGAACTCTTTTCCCGTCCTCGTCGCTCCCGTGGTGAGCAACGCAATCGCTCCGCGCCCTCGGGCGCGCGCCCGCGCTGGCCGCGCTGGGCGCCTCGCGGTCGGCTGTGAGCCAACACGGCGACCAGCACGTCGCCGTTGCCGTCGCCGCAGCCGTCCATTGGGGCGTCCTCGACTCTGGTGGTGAACGCGTCGCGCTCGTTGATCTCCGGCACGAGACCGGTCCACAACCAGTATATCACATCGATCACCACAACATTCGTCATGCACAAGGTTTCGAACCGTCGCCCGGCAACGTGTGCGTCCTGCCTTTGCCATCCACTCGTCGCCCTGGTTAGCGGCTGCCATCATGGAGGCCGTGTCCGTCCAGCTGGTGCTCAACTCGAACTCGCATTCTGGAGCACTCGTCCGGTAGACGTCCACGGCAATGCCTCATGTACAGTTTTCCACTCTCCACGCGCGACGCACCTCAGTGCGTCTCGTAGTACTGATCCTTTCGCGAGGCCGTCGGCACAGCAATCGCGTGTGTCTATCCGCCACAATTTCTTCAGTATCATTATGTCCAGTAGCTTTCTGAACCATTGTGCGTGGTATAGCGCGTGACGCTCGGCAGGAATTTGAACTTGTTCGGCCGTAGTGCCACTGTATACACTCTGAGCGTGAGTCGGCTTGAGGCTGTTCTCGCTCCCGCCCACCATATCACACAACTGCCTCGCAGTGAGTTCTCCATCTTGAACCTCGGACAGGAAGCCAGCCAATAACAGCAAATAATCACAGCAATCCGAAAACTGACAAAGTTCAGCTCCCCAGGTCGATCGCGCAACATGAGCTTGCTTCCTCGCATAATATTCCATCGCGTTGCACGTCCCTCCGATCTTGTGCTTGGTCTCGATCAGAAGGTGCACAGCCCCGCGCTTGGCCAGCCCCTCGTCGCCCGGTTCCCGTCGGAAAGCCGCATCCCCAACTGCCGCAAGCTTCGCGGGCAACTCCAATCCCTGCGCCAGCAGAGACAGGAGCGTTCCTTCATGCACTTCAGCAAAATATTAATATTCCTGATGCGTCCGACCGCGGGTGCCTTCCCATGTCGCTGAAGGGCAGCCGCATATATACATAGATCGACCCTCGTCATGAAACACCAAGCGATAGCGCCCAACAGCGAGGGATAGAGCTTCACGTGCTTCTCCGGTGCATTATCGTCGTCACTCTTGCCTTGCAGCTTCTTCTCATCAATGCAATTCAAGTTCTTGATGCGCTCGACCTGACCCACCTCGACACTCATGTCCTCGAGCTGTCTGTGGCGAAGTCCACAGTGGGCGAAATTCCGCTCACTCATAGTCATCTTGCCGAACACTGCCTCCAAGGCTGCGAAAAGATCGCCGGTAGCTTAGTCAGTGCCGGCGCACTTCAAATCGCCCAGGCGCGTGGAAGCCACCATCGCCAAAACTTTCTCGATCTGCTTCAACCAGAGTGGAGGGTCTTCATGAGTTGGTCGTAGACCGCGCGACAGTAGCACCTCCAGCGTTGGGTCGAAGCCCTCGAAGCCTTCCACTTCACGCAACAGCTCGGCCGCTCCTTCGGCAACGCGAAGCATGCACCTCTGATCGGCTCGTTGAGCAACTTCGCGACCTCCTCGAAAGTCATTCCCTGGAGAGAAGCCGAAGAAATATCTGCGCGACCTAACTTCCACTGATGTTGCGCCGCCAGGGTGCCCACCATTCTCTGCCCCCATCTGGTGCTCGTCGCGGTGGACGCCTTGACCTCGTCTTTGCGCCTGTCCTTGAACCCGCAGGCGGTGAGTCGGCAGAGAATAATCCTCGCCATCGTACCATCTGCTGCTTGTGTCCACTTCCACTTGTCGACCCACTTCGCGTCTATGAGGTTCCTGGCTAATTTTCGCCCTCTCCTCGACATCGCCGTGAACCCAGCCCAATGTCGCAGTTCTTTGATACGTGCTGCGCGAACTGCCTCTCGATGTTCGATCTTCTCGGCTGGGGTCAACAGGCCGACGTCTCTCTCGATGACTGCTTTAGCCGGGCCATCATCGCAGATGCTAAGAACGACAACGTCGTCTTCATGTTCGAGATCTCCAATGATCCGTGGCTCGCAAAGCATCTTCCAGGCCTCCGCTGCGAAGCCAATATGCATAACTGTCTCGGGCTGCAGAGACTCAATCACCTCGTCGGAGATCTAGCCGTAATTCGTGTCCTGCGCAACCCAAGCTTCCGTAATGTCGTAGTCCTTGATGACCTCGCTCCGGTCGATCACTGACGCGTCTGGCTCCTCGGTGAGGTAACAGATCATGCCCATGAAGTTATCATCATCCGTCTCCGCGGGAATCCCACTGAACTCCATAGGTATCGCCCACAACGCTTCCCCGCTGAAAAGGTCGTTCTCCAGTTCTACCTCCTCTGCCGGCTGTTCTCCATCTGCTGTCGCTGCCGGAGTCTCTTGAGGATCTGGAAGACCAGGAGGTAGTTCTGGCGGGTCATCTTCCAGTCTCTGGGCGATGTGTTTTCTGGGATTCTCCGAAGCTTGCGATCCTGCTGAACGAGGTATTTTACCTATCGGTCGGTGTTGCCTCCTCTACGCATCGACTCTGGGTAGGTGCGGCTCTCCGACGCGTGGTATCTGTGGCGCATGTTCTTGTATCGCGTCCAACACGTCGGGCTCTACCGTCAGGAACTGCATGAAATAATAAGAGCCCCACTCTTTCTCCCCGAAGATGTGGCGAAGACTAAGATGTTCAGTTGCGGCACCTTCTCCGCAAACACATCGCCTCCACTCCAGAATCTCCCTTGTCTTGCCGCCTTGCGGTCCACCAGCACACCGTATAATACTCGAAGTCGTGGAGACCAGGCAATGTAAGCGACTTCCTACCAACTCGAGCTGCCACGCATCCATTGATATGCAAACCACACGAAGCCACTTGCAACATAGCCGCTACGACAATAGGGTATCTCCTCGACGCGCGCGTCAGCGCCCATCGCGCCGAGGTGCTCGCCCAGCCCAAGTGCTCGAATCCTTCTCCGATGTTGTGCGCGAAGTCCAACAATAAAACGGCGGGGTCGCTCTCGACAGTCATGAAGGACACCGCGTACCTATACAGAATCGCACGTCGTACATCTTGTGCGTTAACGATCAAATCTCTTCCTTAACAGTGTATTGTGATCGTGCCCGTCTCCGGCGCTGCCGCCGATGCGACCTTGGCCGTCCCTTCTGGTTGGGCACGTCCTTCGGCGCCATGGCCTGCTTATAGAAGTCCACAAGGTCGCCAACTTCCAACTGTAGATCTTCGGTCACCGGCGCCGTTTTTGCTCCCGCTGCTCGCTCTGCCCTGGCCTGGGCGGTCGCGTCGATGATAGGTGCTGCAGCTATGCCGCGAAGCCTTGGAGTGTATCTGAACGTAGCCAGCCCAGCTTCATCCTCGATCTCCTGGGCGCCGCTCCTGTCGAAATCTCTGAGCATCAACGGCGCTCGTCCGTACAGCGTCTTGTGTGGCGTGCCCTCGCCGATGGTCAAGAGGGCGTTCTTGGCGAACGCGGCCTCGGCCAGCTTTCTGGTGAACGGGATCTTGATCCCAAGCTCTCTGAGCGCGGTGTCGATAAGATGAAATTGCTCCCTCAAGATATTTTGATGTCGTTCAACGATTTGCGCATGTTGTCCTGGTGTTTTGAGCTTCCGCGTTGTTCCCATGCGTCCCAGGGCAACACCAGCTTCGTCAGACGCCATAGCTCCTTCACCGTCAACTGTCAGAACCACCATCGGGCCGAACATTTGTATCCAGCCCGTCCAGATGAAGTCCAACAGCGTCTCTATCGTCTTGTCTGCCAACTCGCGGGTCACCGAGAACCTGATACATCCATTACAAAAGTGACCAACCACACGACGTTCATATAATAACAAATCCAGCTGAACCTCGTCGTTGAACTGCATGCTCAGCTTGATCGTCGTGGTCGCCTTGGTGCCACTCTTCATCCATAACCGGCACACCCGGCAGGTGTCGACAATGTCGTCCACGAGCTGCAACGCCTTCGGCGGTACGCCTCTGACCTTCAGCATCCTCTTCATCGCTTTCTTGTTGGCGTGAAACCAGCGCAGATGTAGCCGTCGCAACACCCTGCGTGATACCGACTCATTGTTACCGAAGAGTGCTCGCCTCGCCGGACCCAGGTCCCAACTAGACCAATCTGCGTCCATGCCTTGATCTGCCTCTGGGGGTGCTGGAAGATCTGGTACCGGCTGTCGTTCACTCCCATCCGGAACTGGCGCCGGCGGTGAACCGTCAACCTGGTCACCGCCGGGAACCTCGTAGAGCTCGTTGCACGCGTAAGAGTGCCCAGAATCGAAGAAGAGAACTTCACAGAAGATATTCTTAAAATCTTCAGTTTTGCATTTTTGATGTCAAATCCGGAACATCTGACGCATCCATAGCTCCGTCAGGTCTTGGTGCTTCTGCCCCTGGAGCTGGATAAGTAGCTGCTGCTCGTGGCTGTCGGCGTCCTCCTCTGGCTGGTCTCGGCCCAACCTCGGTGGCCCACCGACACTGTCCTCCTCGGCATCGCCATCATCATCATCATCATCATCATCATCATCATCATCATCATCATCATCATCAGCAGCAGCAGCAGCAGCAGCATCGTCATTACCAGCATCACCGGCATCATCAGCATCAGCACCAGCAGTATCGCACTCACCATCATAAGTATCATCATCATCCGCATCAGCATGACCATCATCGTCATCATCATGGGCAGTATCACCATCATCATCGCCCTCCTCATCATACTCATCATCAGCATCAATATCGTCATTATCAGAATCATCACCATTGTCATCATCATCAGCATCGCATTCACCGCAATGCTCATCCTCGTCATCATCATCAGCATCATCATCAGCATGACCATCATCATCAGCATCAGCAGCATCACCAGCAGCAGCACCATCATCATCAACATCATCAACATCGCCAATATCGCCATCAGCATCGTCAGCATCATCATCATCAAACCCATCATCCCCATCAACATCAACATCGTCAGCGTCATCAGCATTACCGTCATCATCACCATCATCATCATCATCATCAGCAGCAGCAGCAGCATCGTCATCCTTTTGTGACGTTGGCCATAAAAAAAAGGTTAACCTCCTCCTCCACAGTCTTGACATTGGTTTGAAGCGTGACCTCCTCCTCCTCCTCCTGGTCCTCCTCCTAATCCTCTTCATCGTCCTCCTCCTCCTCCTCCTCCTCCTCCTCCTCCTCCTCCTCCCCTTCCTCCTCCTCCTCCTCCTCCTTCTCCTCCTCCTCCTCCTCCTCCTCCTCCTCCTCCTCCTCCTCCTCCCCCTCCTCCTCCTTTCAGACGTTGGCCATACATGAAGGGCGACCTCCTCCCCCTCCTCCTCCGTTTCGACGTTGGTTTGAAGCGGTCCTCCTCCTCCTCCTGCTCCTCCTCCTCCTCCTTCGTTATGACGTTGGCCACACATGAAGCGCGACCTCCTCCTCCTGCTCCTCCTGCTCCTCCTGCTCCTCCTCCTCGCTCCTCCTCCTCCTCCTCCTCCTCCTCCTCCTCCTCCTCCTCCTCCTCCTCCTCCTCCTTCTTGATCCGTAGCCATTTTGGCTCAAGCCTGCTTTGGGCGCCAGGCGGGCTGTTGCTGCCCCCTGCCGCGGCTCGGGCGATGGCGGCGGTCCTTCCCCTTGTCGGGGAGCAGGCGGCGTTGCTTGCGCCGCTGGTCAGGGCGGCAGCTGCTGGGGCTGCTGAAGGCGGAGGCGGGCGGCAGGTGGTGGCCGCCGCTGTCGCTTCGGCCCTTCGCGTGGGCGCTGGGCTTCCGAGGCCCGCGCCTGGCTTCCGAGGTGGACGAGGAGGTGGCGGCGAGGGAGCAGCTTGGAAGGCCCCACCTGACCGAGTAGGTGCGGGCGGGCCACGAAGGCGTAGTGGCTCGGCCCTCTGGGGCTAGTCGCGCCTTCCGCGGCTGGGCCCAGCACGCCGATTTCGGCGCAGGGCCGCAGGTGGCGCCCGCCACGGCCGGCGAAGCCCGGCGCCGGGCGCGTGGCCGCCGTCGTGGGGCTGGCGATGCAGCGTCGGCTTCCACCACTGACGACCTGGAGGACGACAAGGAGGAGCTGAAGGAGAAGGTCTCATTGCACCCTTGCGCTCAGCCGATGGGGGAGCTGATGAAGAAGAACTTCAAGTGCGCCCCTGGATGCCAGGCCACCCTGGAGGTCAAGGCGGTGGGGTCGGCCATTGACGAGGTGGCCCTAGAGAACACTCGGCTGTGCATGGGGGAGACCAAGTGCGACTCTGAGAAGCTCGTCGTGAAGGACTCCAGCGAGACGGCCCAGGAGCAGCTCGACGGGGACGTGGACTCGGAGCTGCCGAAGGAGGCGTCCCTCAAGGTCCAGGTCGGGAGGAAGGCTGCTGACCTCGACCCGCACCTGGCCCAGGACGGCCTGGCCCGCGTCGTGACGGCCGCCAGAAAGTACGATGTCATGCAGCAGGCGGCCTTCGGCGTCCAGCAGGCTAAGAACGCCTTGGCGCAGGCGGAGGCTTGCTTCGACGCGGCCGTTGATGATGCTGTCGACGCTGCCTCGGGCATGGAGGAGGACGTGCGCACGGCGTTCATGGTGAAGCCCGGCCTCCCGCCCTAGAGGGTGGCCTGGCTGCGAGTGCCGCGGAGGCTCGTGCCCTCCTGTGGCACTCCTGATGCGGTGCGGAGGCCCGTGTTCCTCCTGCGCCCTGCCCGGCGGACGGAGGCCCGTGTTCCTCCGCCGCCAGGGCCGTGTCGCGCGGAGGCTCGTGCTCCTCCTGCTCCTCCTGCTCCTCCTGCTCCTCCTGCTCCTCCTCCTCGCTCCTCCTCCTCCTCCTCCTCCTCCTCCTCCTCCTCCTCCTCCTCCTCCTCCTCCTTGATCCTCCTCCTCCTCCTTGATCCTCCTCCTACTCCTCCTCCTCCTTGATCCTCCTGCGCCGTGAAGTGCAGTCGCGGAGGCTCGTGCTCCTCCCGCGACTGGGGCCCCTGGGGCTGCGGAGGCCCGTGTTCCTCCCGCGGCCGCGTGAGCGGCATGCAGCAGAGTCCAGCAGAGTCCTCCTCCTCCTCCTCCTCCTCCTCTCCTCCATCCTCCTCCTTGACGTTGTCCATACATGGAAAGGCGACCTCCTTCCTCCTCCTTCGTTATGACGTTGGTTGAAGCGTGGAACCCTACTCCTCCTCCTGTTTCCTGCGCCGGCTCCATCCTCCTCCTCCTCACTCCTCCTCCTCCTCCTCCTCCTCTCCTCCTCCTTTGTGTGATTGGCCATACATGAAGCGCGGCCTCCACCTCTCCTCCTCCTCCCTCCTCCTCCAGATCCTCCTGAGCCGCCTCCTCCTCCTCCTCCTCCCTTCACTCATCAACCCCCTCCCCCTCCTGCTCTTGATGTTTTCATAGGCATGAAGCACGACCTCCTCCTCATCCTCCTCATCCTCCTCTTCCTCATCCTCCTCCTCCTCATCCTCCTCCTCCTCCTCATCTCCTCTTGTTATTATTCTCCTCTTCATCTTCCTGCTCCTGCTCCTCCTCCTCCTTTTTGACGTTGGCCATACATGAAGCGCGACCTCCACCTCCTCCTCCAGCTCCTCCTCCACCTTGTTGTTGGCGTTGGCCATACATGAAGCGCGACCTCCTCCTCCTCCTCCTCCTCCTCCTCCTAGTCCTCCTCCTTTTTGATATTGGCCATACATGAAGCGCGACCTCCTCCTCCTCCTCCGCCTCCGCCTCCTTGTTGACGTTGGCCATGCATGAAGCGCGACCTCCTCCTCCTCCTCATCCTCCTCTTCCACCTCCTCCTCCTTTTTGACGTTGGCCATACATGAAACGCGACCTCCTCCTCCTCCTTATCCGCCTCCTCCTCCTCGTCCTGCCCCATTCCTCTTCCTTTTAAATAATTTCCCCCTGTCGCACCCCGAGGTCAGCTTTTAGGGCGGGCCTGGCGTTTCGCCGGGGACTTTATGTATGACCCTGAAGCTTGACAATGGGCAACATATTCACCGATGGAGGGCGTTTTTTTTTATGTGGCTCTCGCCCTAGCGCCGCGCACATTCGTTTCAAACTTTTGCCAGAGTTCCACGGATTCCCATGATCAGCGTACCGGAAATAGTGTTTTGGAAGGGTTCAGGACTATGAGGGTGCAGCAGTTACGCTGATTCTCGGCCTTGAACTCCAAATAGCGTTCTGGAACGATTCTGGATCGTCAAGACGCAACAATCAGGTTGATCCGTAGCGTTGGAAACCCGGGAACCATCTTTCGGCATGCTAACGATTGTCTTCCAACGAGGCAGTTCCCTCTGTGGGAATGAGCCGTCGCAGGGGCCTATGAGGGGGGAGCTTGGAGGGAGGATGTATTCAAACATTTTCGATATCTCTTGTATTTGCACTGGCCCTCGTCCTCCTCCTCCTCCTCCTCCTCCTCCTCCTCCTCCTCCTCCTCCTCCTCCTCCTCCTCCTCTTTCTTCACCTCCTTTTGATGTTGGACATACACGAAGCGCGACATCCTCCTCCTCCT